GTCTGAGATTAGATGCGGCTTATCCAGACATTCAAAAACAATGCCCACATCACTTCTCCCTGCAGTTTGTCCTCTCCCTTAAAAGCCTAGAGAAAAGCTATTTTTTCCCTTCTGCTCCCTGCTGGCTTTCCGGCTCTGTTGTCTCCCTCCCTTGAAACAACTTCACACTGGCTTCCTCGTGGCCTCCCTTCTCCCAAACAACTTCCTGTCTGCTTCCCTGTTCCCTCCCCATTTCTGCCGCTGTCTGCCTGCACAGGAGCAACTCCCATCCAGTTTCCTTTGCTGGGTCTCTGTACAGAAAAGACACCCGGGTGACCACACAGTTGGGATGGGATTAAAGAAAGCTGATTAGCCTGACTAAAAAGTCTCCAGCCCCGACACACAGAAACTCTCTGGTACCAAAGAGTTCTGGTTCCTGTAATGCCTTTAGCATCAGCATGGTGGTCCAAATAAATGCTTAAAATGATTTTCATCGCATGCCAATACTGCCCATACAGGCTTCCTAAAGTGGATTCTCTTCCTCATATTCAGACAAAAAGAGGCTGTCTGAGGCAGCCTTAGCAATTATCACGATGTTAGCTGTTAACAAAGACAGCTGTTCTTTAGCAAAAGACAGTCATTTCTCTTTTACCACCTACTAACCCCCCCAAAAGCATTAGGCTAATTTACTAGCTATACTAGAGAATAACAGAGGACAAGTACTGCTCTCAATTTTTCCAACTATATTAAAAGACTTAGGATCTCAAATCCAAAAGCTCCACTGCTGATAAGCATCAAACAGTCTATTTTCAGCTGCAACTTTATGGGATCGAAACCTTTAATTGAAATGAACAAACATCAATGCTAAATTTATCCCAAACAGTCGAATGTGATGATGGCAAAAATGTATCACACCAACAGAATTAGGAGGCATCTTGAAAAATATTTAAGACGATCATAATTAAATTATCTTTCTACTTAGCCTTCCAATTATACTGCGTACTGTTCCATGCACAACATGGAAACAGTATCATAAAGCTATTGTTTCAGTTTGCTTCCTGTGATACTAATCTCAATCAGGCCGTCAGACGAACAGCCTGCATTTCTAAATGTTAAAGGCTTCCTCTCCAACATTCCCACACAGAATTGCCTACTGTGAAAATCAAAGGGAAACGTGTTACTAAGTAAAGCAGCAACTTTTATAAAGCAAAACCTGGTATTTTTTACCCTTTTGAACTCTGAGATATACAACCAGCTATTTCCTATTATGATAGGATACAAGGGCCAAGCTTGGGCCCCGCAACGCCTGCAGGAGACGTGCACCCTGCGATCCAGAAGCCGGGATTTTCGGAGGCACGTAGTGGGAGAGCTCTCAATGAGGGCTCAGATTCGTGGGCTCTGCCATTCACCTGCTGGAAGAATGTGGGCATAGATTTCCCTAGGGCTTGGCTTCCCAACAGACAGATAATCATTATGCAGACACAGCTAGTGAAACAGCCCGAGTTACACAAGTGAAAAGCCCTATTCCAAGTCAGGGATAATGGGAAGGGGCATGAGACACGCAATGCCAGCGGACTGAGGCTGGCAAGCTGCCTACAGCCATCTCCGAAATCCCATCTAGAGCATCAGCTTACAGAAAGATGAGGATGCAGTCCTGGGAAGGCCTTTGCTCTCTCCGCTCCCAGCAAAACTGCCACAGAACGAAGAGATGTGTTTGAGAACCCTGCCCACAAACAGTAATATAAAATAAAATCTGGCGTGCCGGTAGTTTTTGGTAGAATGAACAATAAATAACAAAAATGCTAATCAAGTGGTACTGTTTTCTTTACTACCTTTGGAAGCATTTTTCAAGCTGCACTGCAAGCTTATTTTAGTGACATTGTATATATATGTAAATGCAGTAAATGTTATTTTAACATCCTAATTAACGACAGAACAAATACTCCCACTTAACTCCAGTTTAAACTAAGTGTCTAGCCCAAATAATCAAAACTATTTCCATGAAGACAACATAAAGCACAGGGCGGGTCTGCGGGCTGGGGCAGGCGTTCGCTTCTCATGCACACTGCAGTTCTCCACCTCCCCATTTCCCAGTTCACCAGTCAGAGGCGACACAGTAACCCTAACCCCCGCGCTCCCCGTCAGATAAACTGGGCTCCTCAAATGCAATGCGGAATTAATGGCCAAATTCCAGCCTGCTAAACATGCGTGTGGAATGGGGGCGGCTTTGGTTGGGGCTCAGAAAGGGTTTAGAGCAAAAGCGAGAACGGAACGCGGACAGGCATCACGCAAGCCCAGTGTCCCTTTGCTCCACACTCTCGTCAAAACATGATGAGCAGCAAACTTCTTCATCTGAGAGCCAAAAGCTGTATCGAAAACCTATCGCTTTGAATGAAATCGGACAGCCTTCTAGTGAAAGCCAGTGTCCTTATAAAGACAGACATTATTCAGAAGCCTACCATCAAAGACTCAAATTCTGCTTTTACTGGAACAGATCAGAAAAACAGTACCCATCAAATATTAGCTGTATAAGCAGCTACTGTATGGCAATGGTGTTAATCAGTCCTGAAAGGCAGTATTTTTTCAACAAAGCTCACCTGCCAGAAATGCTTATATTCAGTTTTACAGCCTTGTCTCCTGAGAGCAAGAAACAGTTCTCAAGCTGACAGAGATTTACTTGGGCCAGAGCAGTACTCTATACCTGTGAATCTCAGGAGCCTCAGCAAGCATAACCTGCCAGGCAATTCCGTGAGAAGAAATAATAGTCTGAAGTCATTATTCTGATAATGATAATAAAAGTTCCCTCTCTGATGCCACTTTATTCCAATGACTGATAAATTTTATCTTTCAAATATTCAGGGCTTAAATTTTCAGCCTTCTCGTTTAGCTTTGCTAGTTTAAATGTTAGCTATACTCAGAAGAATATAAGTAGCAGACGAGGCCTTTAAAAGCAAACAGTGGTTTTCTGGTTTGAGTTCTTTCATTTCAGTGTATTCTCATTGTCAGAAAATAATACCCAGGTCTTCCAGAAAATCAGTCCCTTTAAAGTACGTCAAGTTCAATTCCTCAGAATAGAATAAGATTTTAAAACCTTTATCTACATCTGCAGTGTCTACAGAGGCAGCGATGGACAAATCTGCATTTGACTAACAACACAAATTGTAATGAGAGGACTTACTCCAAGTCAATATTTAGACTGTGGAAGTGCATCACATTTAAGGCTAAGCAAATAACATAGAGAAAGCCTGAAATATTAAATCACAGCCTGTCACTACTGCTATGTTTCATTTCCAGATTCCTTTCTAACTGCTGGGCCCGGGTGGTACTTCAAGAAAATGTAAATCAGCTACATGAATCACACTGTTTTTCAAACAGTCACAGAAAAATCATGTGTATGTGAGAATATTATATACATATATTGCGTTGTCATCACTAACAAATTATATGAGCCTAAGCCTTAACGCTACAGAAGCCCTAAACACATTTTTTTATCTGTAGATCTTTTCGTCACCAAGAAATGTACACGTATTTGAAAATTTCACTTTAAACTTAGCAATTTCCAGGTAAGCAAATGTATATTTCTGACAATGACAGTATCAAACTATTTCATGTCAAATTTCATAGACACACACGTTACTTATGTTACAGCCCTTCAGAAGCTTGTGCTGTGCCAGTCTCTAGTTCACACCATATAAATATTTGAAAAGCTGAAGCTGTGTTTTTATGAGAAAGCTGGTAACAAATTGGCTTGGTGTACGGCATGTTTAAGAACACTTACCTATTTACTCAACTTCTTCAAGTATTAATTACATGACAAAATCAGAGCTGATTTGCAAATGCTGTTCAGCAAATAAACTTTTCTTTTCACAGAAGTAAATGTTAAAACGACATTCTACAAGCTAAGATGAAAATACCCACATTTGATACAATAGCCTTAGCAGAATCCAAAAAAGCTACAAAAATTACAAAGCACGGAGAAGCAGAACTGAGTTTGTCATATTTTCAGACTAACTGATGACAAACCAACAGCATACTCTTCCATAAAATGAGATACTTCCTAATGACATTTATTAAAGTAATTGTTATGTATGACTCAACTTTTCTAAAGAGAGGAAGTGCAATCGTGACCTTATTGGGAGTTTTGCCATTAATGAAGGAAAAGATAAAATTATGGCTTTACCTTTCACAAACAATGCAGGCATTGTTTTGCTAACGTATTCTGGACACTTATAGGTCACCATGTGAAAGTTCCCCCAGAAACATCAGTTGTTTTCATTGATCTCACAGGCTACTCGAACCACAGATTTCCATCAAAGTGATTATTCAAATATAGGTGCAAAATAAAAACATTGTTAATTTTATCAGTTTTCACAGGCTATGAAAATGATGCTGGTTCACATTTCCTACTAGTCCAACATGAGCAAGATTCTGATTACATAGAGTCCATTCACGTCGAGTATTTAAAAGCTGTTTGCTTTAACTATTTAGTCACCTTGTCATAAACAATCTACCTACTACTCATTACCAGCACATAGCACAACTAGTCCTTTCAAACAAAGTATTGGACCTTCAGAACTTCCCAGCTGCCTTTTGAATGCACTGGCACAAACGTGCTTGCCATGCCAAATCAAAATTTACTTGGTTCAGCATGGAAGCTTAAGATGTATGTTTGAATTCTGATTAAACTCTTGTAAGTTTAAAATCTTGCAACTGAGCTTAATAAACCACATTCAAGAGTCTTGAGAGCGGTTTTTTTACAGAGGCAAAACTGCACCTGTTGTTATTTTGGTAACGAAGACCTTATATGACTAATATCACTCAGATTTTTCTATCCCAATTAAAATATACATAATTCTGATGGAAAAAACCCACCAACCTATCTTTAAATCTAGTTGTATTCTCACAACACAAGCAGTTGTGTCCTGTTCTCACTTTAGGACCCAGCACTCAGAGAAGAACATGCACAATCTTACGAAGCTGCCATCAGCTAGCACTGACAACTTCTTTTAGCCAGATCTTACCTGAGGACAGAAGCTTGTGAGTGCGTAGGAAACTGATTGCCAGGCGCATTATGGATGCCTTGTCCAGGTGGGAACTGATGTTGTGGGGCAGGGGCAGCTCATGTGCCAGTTCATAGAAAACTTCGGTTTCTTTACTTCTCCTGCATCTCGCTGCATCTCTTGATTTCTCCTTCCTCCGTTCTGAACTGCTCCTGGTAGGTAAAGGAGAGGAAGGAAACAGCATTTCTTGAAATGCAATTCACGACTTGAGAAAGGCATTTACAAGACTACATCTTCTCAGCAATGAATCCATTCTGTCAACTGGTTTAAATCAACTGACCAGACATTAATATCTATTTGCTCCTTTTAAAATGGGAATCAGGAGAGGACTGCCACAACTGGAAAGCGCTCTGATGCTACAGAAGTCAGCCTTTGGACCCCCTGAGTCCCCATTGATTGTAACAGGATGAAGATCTGCCTTAGGTGAACGATTCAAAATGAAAGAGCAAACAATTATTTCTGGGATTCAGGAAATGTTAAAAATAAAAATGTAGTTTGTTCAATCTAAATTAATTTACTTGAAAAATACTCTGGGATGAGGTGGCAATCCATTTTAAAGCTGGAACAATTATAGTGCATGTGGCTGTCTCGCAGATATGACGACTTGCAAAGGCTGTTCCCCACATTAAAATAAAAGTAATAATAGGGTATCAAACTGTGTTTGTATATACAACTGTCTCAGCTCTTAACCTGACACTACTCTGGAAAACCACCTTTGCTTGACCATGAAGGATACAAAATGGGAAAGAAAATACTGTTGCATGCAAGAAACCCCTCCTTTGTAGAAGGTAATTAAATCACCATTTCTCCATTGTCTACGAAAACAGATTCCTTCTTGAGTAAAACAGCATGACCGATAGAGTCGGCCTCCTTCAAACTCCACAGAGAACAGAAGAGCAGGAAATAACAAAGGGGAAGACATTTTATGAAGCAAGTATGCAAAATTAAGTCACCGAGGGACATAAAGCTAAATTTAAGATGCGAGAAACACAAGGGCTGTATTTATAATAGATCTGGGATAGGACAGTTTAAGAGGGAACTTCAGTGACTCTAAGGTTCTTTTATAAAGTACAATTCTTGTTTCAGAACACAAAGAACCTGAATCCATTCAAAACCATCAGCTATTTCAACCCCACGTAGCTCTGCTAATACTAAAAGTTTCCTTCACTTGCATGAGTTGAGGTTTTGCACCTTAGTCATGCCAACACAGGATGTATTTCTTTTCAGGCAGGCTCCTGTAATACTGTACCAGTGCAAACAACACAGCTTGGATGAGCACAGAGCAGGGCGTGGAGAAGACCAGCCCCACCATTTTTACTGTTGTGGCTGCACATTCATTTCTAGAATCACCAGTGGCAGCTCTCCATTTGCAAGGCTGCCTAAAAGTGAAGCATCTTAAAACCTGCTTTTTCCAATGTCAGTATAAAATAATGAGCCTATAAATTAAAAACGGATCAACCAAAAAAAAAAAATCCTATCAAAACAGATATTTCAATAAATGTATTCTCTTGTGTGAAGATGATGAGGAAAGCAAATATTAATTGCATCACTTAATCCTAGAAACTGTTCCAGATCATGGCTGGTCTCACATAAAACCGCATTAAATAGAAAAAGAGTAATAATACATAGAAACATAGAAGACAGCCATTTCTAGAAGAGCTAAACTGCCTGCAAAAGCTTCTAACATGGAAACCGCAGGTGGCTTCATAAATTAGAAAGAAGGAAAAATAGCCAGGGTGCGTGTTAAATGCTACGAGTAAAGTTAGTTACAGTAAGGTGTTTGCTGGGCCCAGGCAAGGCTGGGCATTCAACATCATCATCCAAAGCAGAAATATGCTCACAGCACATCAGTAGGGCCCTCGTGCTGCAAAACATGTGAAGCTGGGCATGCGCTTAGGGATCAGACAGGTGCTCACCAGCGGATGTGCTAACAGGGCAAGGAGCCTCATAAATGCTTACAGTATCTTCTCAAGATCCATGATCAGCTCTCGGCAAACGTCTTTCACAATTTTTTTGCCTGAGGTGAATATTTCCTAACATGGCATCTGTTACAGGAGGTATGCACGGGATGAGACCTACACACATGTCAGTACATAACGGCAGGATCCAACTTCAATAAGTTCAGGGGCATCGCTGGAACGAACACCAACTGGCCCAAGTTTGAATCAAAAGGATCAGATATTCACAAGGTGACACTAACTCCTTACTTTTACCCTTGCCAAGCAAGAGTCATACTACATCCACATAAAAAAAAAGTCCCCTTGTACAGCTATCCGAGAAGGTACAACAGAAAATGCCCCGTGTCCTCCTGGGGCAGGTGCCGGGAACAGGAGAACCATGTGAACTACTTACACCGATGCTTCTTTCAGAGGGACATCTTGCTCTCTGAAGAAAAATATGTCTATACTGTGCCTATAAAGATGCTGGACTAGGAACAAATCTTCTCAGTTTCTAATTCTACCAATGCAATAAAAGAGTAGAAACAAACCAAAACCAAACAGAAAAAAACCTACATGGCAATATTTGCGAGAAGTTCCAATTGCAGCTTAGAAAATTTAACTTGAACCATAAATGTTCGAGCTCTGCTCTAAATCTAGAGCCCACAATTTTCACATTAGAACCAACTTGGGCAAAACAAGATCCAATCCCTGCTTGTTTAAATATGAAGCTTTGGGAACCAAGGCCAAAGCCGTGTCGCAATTTGCACAGTAAAAAAGGGTTGTATAAGGCAGGGTCTCTCATGACGCCACTCTGGCCACAAAGAAAAATATTTAGTTTTGCTAACCTCTGTAAATGTAATTTTGAAGTGTGGCTAATGAGACAAGCTGCTTTCATTAACCATGGGTTGCTCAAGGTTTCTAATAACTAATGCTATGAGCTGAGAATGATTTTTTCCCCTCTGTACAGCAGATGCTTTCCCTTAACACTGCTTCTGCCCGTCGTGCTCGCTTTCTCTGCAGAGAGGCTTCGTTGTTCATTACACACCGCAGGAGAGCTTTCTCACATCAGAAAACAAGGGGCGGAATCAGCCTGCCTGGTTGCTTTCAAAAGGCTTTCTTGCTCACCCATTATCATTTTAAATAAACAATTTGCTTGTTAAGCATTTCCCCCTGTGGCTTCCTGCACCTCAATTTTCCTCCCCTTCTCCCCTCCCTCAGCACACCCTCACGTTGCGCTATGATTGCAGCCAGCCCTGCACAAGCACAGAGAGGCCCCCAACACCCCCACGCCGCTCGCCCCGCACA